ATAACACTGTTTTCTCTGCCCTGTTCTCCTTTCTGCATAAAACTCTTTATCTAGGTATCCTACTACTCTATTGGTTCCTTTCCTCTTTTCTCACAGAGTTCCCTCTCTTTCTAGGATTTCTTCACCTTAAATCTGCAGAGCCAATTAGGTGTTAATACTGGGTTTTACCACTATATCAGACCAACCAAGATGGATTCCTGGAATGTATATGGTTTCAGATTACACCAAGGACTTCAGAATTGGCTTTTCAGAAGTGCTGTTTAAGACAAATCTTAGCAAAGCAAACCATTTCTAAATCTCAACTAACGGTCTACTTATGTTAAATAACACTCAATATAAATCTAAAGCAGAGTTGTAATTGCCTTTTGGAATTGGTTGGTTTAAGTGATCATATAGCAGGCAATGAGCACTTAGTAATGAATATATCTATTCAGAAAAGAGAGGGAAGAGGATGTAACTCAGTGGTAGAATGTGTATGTGAGGCCCTGGTTTAATAAGATCCCTGATCTGAGCATAGTAGGGCTTTCCATCTTGTTCATCAGTCACAGAAACAACATCATCAATTTGGTAATATACTCCCTTGTGGAAGATTGAGTCTGCAGTGATTATGGTGGAAATAGACTCAGGAGCTTTGATGGGATTTCTAAATTTTAAAATGTCGATTCCCTTTTCCTTTAGTAGAAACTTCCTTTTCAGCAGCAGGAGCAGATTTGTATTTAGTGCTTCTGAGCCACGCAGACCTCCTGTGAATTTCTTGCTTACTCCGCCTGCCGCCTGGCCCCGTGGCTCTGCGGGGTGCAGCCGAGGTGCTGGCGCCCCTGCCACCGCCCCCCCCCCCCAAGTCCTGCCGGCCGCCCCCAAGCCGGCGACCCCCGGCCCATGCAGTGGTGACAGAGGATCTCCCCCTGCGGGCCCTTCTTCCACTTGGAGGACGACGTGGTCTTGAAGCCGCTGCTGGTGGGCTTCAGACCCAGCGGCACGGTGGCCGGCTCGGGCGGCCCCCGCGGGCGCAGACACGGGAATGGCGGCCGCCTTTCTTGACCGCCCACTGGTCGGCTCGCCACTCCGGCGACCTGAAGAACGGCGAGGGCAGGGATGCCAGGTTGTCGACGCAAGGACCGCCAAGGCCGCTGCCCCCTGCAGGCGCGGGGTAGGCTCTGCCCGCCCACGCCCAGCACCAGCCCAGGGTTGTCCACAGCGCCGCGGGGGCGGGCCCGCCAATTACCTTTTAAAGTTTAAGTGTTAATCAGACAGAATTCAAGAGTGTCCCTACAAAAATGTCACCTATTCACTCAAGTTGGATGTGCCATCCTGCGTAGGATGGAGATGAGGTAGAGGGAGGCTCCTGGGAACCTATGACCCTACGTGCCCTGAGAGTATGAAGTGTATGATCTACCAGTGGGAATAGGAGAAGAAATGCTGAAAGGCCCACTGTCAGGAAATGGTACCAGGTCATTGTCACAGAGGCTGCTTGAGCATTTGCAGCATGGAGGGGAAAAGGAGCCAGTCTCACCCCTCCCCTGGATGAGTTATATCCTATCCACAGAACAGCTTTATTGGACCAAAGGAGGATCCCAGCAAGCAGGGCCTGATCCTCCAAGGTGGTTCCTGACCCTGTAGGGCCCCACTGACTGCCAGCTGGCACAGGAGAGGGACCCTCATATGTTAGCGGGAAGGAGAGGATCAGTTATAGGAGGCCCCCTTCCAGAGCAAGAGAAGAACCTGGAACAAAATGGATTCTTAGAATGGCCTGTGGTGAGGGCCTCTTTGTGCTGTCAGTTCTCATCATTGCCAGTTCTGAGTGTACCCAGTACAGTCTCATCCAGCTGCTGAGGTCCTGGAATTGAGGGAGGATGGTGATGGTGCCAAACCACAGGCGCAGCAGGAGAGCCGCAGGAAAGGGGCTAGCATGCCTCCAGTGTCAGCCTTGGGGCCTTGGTGGCATCAAGGGAGAAGGACACTGGGCCCATTGTACAACAGATGGAGCTTCTTGGAATGCAAGTTGGACATTCGATGAACGTGGAAGCAGTCAGCAAAAATTTAGTTCAACCAGCAGTTAATACGGTGTGCATTTGCTCTGTGCAAGACGTTGGGGGGGGGGGGTTGGAGGAAACTGGAGATGAGCAGGATGTGGTCTCCACCCTCAAGGGGTCTGAGGACTCTCAAAATAGGAAAATAGATCCAGGCGTCATTTAGGAGTGACAAAATGCTACCAATTGTTATTGACAAGTAAAAATACTGAGTCTGCTGGCCTTACAGGCATTCAAGTCCCATCCATTCACTGTTTCCCAAGCATGTATTTAGATATTCCAGTTTAGACATGCTAAGCTAAAGACTGATGTGACATACCTAAGTGAAGACGTGCAAATGCGGAGCTTGGAATCTGGCTTCAAAATACAAATCAGGATTAAAGGCAAAGAGGAGATCACCAAGTAACAAGTGTGAGGAGAAAAGAACAGACAGGAAGGATGTGCATGAGTTGGAGGGGGCTGGTGGGTAGTAAAGGAGGCAGCTAAAGAGTTGAGGTGTTATTTTAAAGGGTGATGCTGTGTTAACAGAAATGGAATTCCCAGAGACGTGAAATGCAGCCCATCCTTTCTGGGTGGTAGTATTGGCACAATGAAGCCTCCTCTTCCTTCTCTTCAGATGAGAGGAGCTTTCTGCAGCCTGTGGTGGGCATGAGGATGCTGACTATGCATCCTGCCCTTAGGACAGCCCCAGTCACTGTGCACAGCACTCCACATGTTATCATTGGTACACACTCCTTACTCACCCTGCTGTTGTTTCTCACTGTAAGGTACACATGAATTGGTCAACTTGCCTGAGATCCCAGGTAGGAAACTAAGCCAGGATCCCACCAACATGTATCTAACAGGCCTGGCCTTGCAGGAACAGTGGCTGGTTTCAAAATACAAAGTCTGTGGTGTCTGAATTCACAGGACAGGGTCTATATAGGGTCTGACCTGACAGAATCTAGACAGAGCCAATTAAACTGAACTAGTTGAGCCTGACACTAGTTTGACATAATTCACTTGTGTTAGGTGTGAAGTCAGCTATCAAACCTGCTCCCTTTTCAGAATTTCTTAAACACTGGCCTCTTGCCTGCTTCCACAGTTTCTTGGGTTCTCTTGTTCTCAGGGCTTAGTATCCGCTCCACAACTAATGCTGCATGCCTTACTGCCCCACCTTCTGGTCCTCTCTCCTAAATCTGCTCTATCTGTCCCTTCTAACATGCAAATTTCTCTACCACCAAAAGACTCACTTTTCTATTTACCATCTTGATGATAGTTTCTTTTTCGACTCCCTTCCATAGTTCTCTAGTGCTATGCAAAATGTATTCCTAAGGATGGCATTCAAAGTCATTTATAAACTGAATCCCAGGGTTCTCTACTCACAACCAGCTACTGTGGACAAGGAGAGCACCCTGACACTGTCCTCATTCTTCATGCTGGCCAAGTCAGTGTCTTTATTGTCAGCATCATTGCTGTTATAGAATTTTATTTCCCACTCATCTCAAAAGTTTCATGTACTCTCTCACAATGAAAGTAACTGAGTTCTACACCATGAAATCCAACATTCTTGTCCCCTCTCTCTGGAGTGGGATTGGGAGCCAGTCTGTTCCAGGAAATTTTCCCAGATGGGCAAAGGGACCTCCCTTTCCTGTTCCCTTCTACATAGAAGGGAAGTGTGTGTATGTGTGTGTGTGTGGGGGGGGGGGGGTTGGGGGCGGGCACACAAGAGTGGGCACTCTGGACCACTGTACCCCTTCCCTCACTCTTCCTCATGCTCTCTACCACCAAAAGACTGGCATCTTCTGGAATTATTTCCGGGTTTACTCTTGAAATCATTCATCTGTTGTGTCTACTTTTACAAAGGATGATGTGAATATGTGATTTTTATATGTGTTTATCTATTTTGGATACATTCCTATTTCTAGTGGGTACAGTCTTATGTATTCCTGTATGTGGAGCATGCACATATGCTGATGGGTAGGCCTACTGTTCCAAATGACCCGAAAGGAATACTCAAAATTGAATATTTCATATGAATACAGCATACACATATGCTGATGTGTGGTGGAGGTGGGGCTATGTGGGGTTACATTCAGGATTTTAGTAGGGAAGGAATGTGATTGGCCCTGTAGTAACAATGAATTGGCTTATTTTATGGGTCACTATCAGTGACTCCCTTGTGAATCACATTATGTGAATATTTATGCCTGTGGTCTGATGTGCATGTACCACTATCATCTCTGAGGTGACAGTGGGTGTGGAGCCATGCCCTCTGAGAATGATACACAAAAAGAATTTCATTAAAATATGCTGAAAGGCTTTTTTTTTTTTTTTTTAAAAAAGCAGTTACAAAACGTTCCCCAAATCTAGTTTGCAATAACAAATATAATGTTGTATTTACTATTTACAGTTTTAAACTCTGGTTCAGTAAACTGTTTTGAACTCATCACCTTTATTCCTTTTACAATAATAAACCTGAAACTTTTATTTTACTGAATTGGGGGTACTCTTATTTTTCAGCTATGTTCTGAAATATGTGTAACAAAAAAGAGCTCAAAACACGATCTCCATTGAATGGTAATGTTTTGTTCTATATGGAGAAGGATAGGACATTTTGGGAAAAAGAAACCCAACGCATAAAGGATTAATTTACTAGCGCTTTCCCCAAGTAGACGTCTACATTCTTCTGATAATGTCTAGTTTCGTGCATGGGGAAAACACTGAAAGAGAACATTCATGTGGCTCCTGGCTTACATTCGGTCGTCTGAGTAAATGAGCCCAATTACCTGAAGAGGCGCGGAGGAATCACTTCCTGGAACCTTCCTTTGCAGAAAGAACACTTTCGGGCGGGGCCCCTCACCTTCACCAACAGGCCTGGGTGGTGGCACTGGGTCAGGCGGGGTCGGGCTTTGGCAGTGACGCCTGTAGGTGCAGGCGGCGCGCTGTGAGGGAGGCTCCCCGCGGTGGCTCCCCAGCCCGGGCCCCGAGCCCCTGATTGGGCCCGCCCCACTCCGCCCGCTCCAGCCCCGCTCCCGGCGGGGACGCTAGCTGAGCCGGCGCTGGCTGCCTGGCCCTGGCCAGAGATTTAAAGCCCGCAAGTTTTGTTCTTGAGACCAATGACTTTGCTCCTCCGTGAGGTGGAAAGCAGACCTCCGATTTGGACGTTTAGGGAGCTGGGCTTGCACTTGGTGAGTTTTTTTTTTTCTTTTAAATTGCTTTTAAGATTAAACTTGAGTTTGAAAGTAAACCATGGGGGAAGACGGCCGGTGGTTGGGGGGGAGGGATTTATAAAAAAAAAAAAAAATAGACCGCTGTAGTGCAGTGTTATTTGATGTAAATTAGTTTTCTTCCTTTGTTATTCAGGTCCGCAGAAGGCATAAGTAGTGTGACTAGAAACCTCTTAACAAGTCTCGCCTGCCTTTAGAATTCTTGCTGGAAAACTAGAATAAGTTGATCCGACAACCGCAAGTCAAAACTTATCCGTATATGAGTATCTGTTACGTTAAAGGAATGGGTCACGATCCTGGTGAATAGTGTACCGAGGCCAGTTGTTTCTTTGATATGGAATAAATATACATGTTATCAGCTGCACGATAAAAACCGTGCCCAGCAGCAGATTGCATCTTAACGTGATTCGAGGCCTCTCGGTGGGTTTGGAAATGTTGCCTTTCCTTTCTGATCACTAAATGGAGACGTTCTCGCACTGTTGGCGGGATAAGCCTCCCGTCCCTGGATGGGTTTTCTTTGTGCGGCGGAGCAGAGACGCTTGCTCCCTGGGTCCCAGGCAGGGCGGCGGGAGCGGGGGGCTGCGAGCCGCCCAGCCTCCGCCCCGCCCCTGCCCGGCCGGCCGCGCCGCGGAGCCGCACCTCCTCGCCCGTGCAGCTCCCTATACAGCACTGCAGGCTCTCCTCTGCTGGCTCTGGACCGGACGAGGTTTCCACTGGGCGGAAAGGGCAGAGCGGCGTGGAGGTGAAGACGCGTTCGTTCACAAGGGTGGCTCCGGGACGTCGGGTTGGAATGTGCCCTCGGGCCTGGGACGCGCGGCTGGAGCCGAACCCGGGCCGGGAAGCACGGCCCAGCATTGGGAAGCTGGGGAGGCCCTTCACGGAGTGGGTTCGGGCTGCCCGGCGTCCGAAGGCGCGGCGAGGAAGGAGGGCGCGATCCCTTCCCGAAGCGCCTTTGTTCTGTCCGGCCAGTCTGCGCTGGCGCCCGGCGGCCGGGACCCGGGGCCCAGCCGCCTCCTCGGTGAGGCAGGTAGGCTGGGGTCCCCGGAGGTCCGGTGGGGCAGTTTCCCAGGACCCAGCGGGCTTTCCCTCCAGGAGGGGTCTCCGGCAAGGCGGCCGCGGTGTTGCGCTGCTGAGACCCGCCGGAGCGCGGGAGGCGCGAGGCGAAGAACGCCGCGCCCACAGCTTTGGTTTCCGGCGCTGGGTCCCAAACTTGCCGCCACCCCAGGGCGGAATTTGTACAGACAGCGTCGGGTTGGAAAAGGGGAAATTGGCAGACTTTCGGCCGGTACAGGCTAGGGAAATGGAAACAGGGAAGTGGGCAGGCAAGGGAAACTGGGAAACTAGACCTCTTCCCGGAGAGGGGAAATCTTTGCTTCTCTTTCTATTGACAAATTTTATTTTGCGTCCTGAGTTGACAAAGTGAGTAGATTTGCCCAGATACCGTGTAAGTGAAAAGTTAACAACTTTAAATTTGCATTTCACTACACTATATTCGTGTATAGTGGTGTTTTTTCATAGGTTTTGGATCACGTTAAAGGGACACCAGTGTTGTGTCCGCAAAGCATCTGGTGGGGGCATGTAGCTTATATTTAGAGTAATTTTCTAATGAAAGTACATCCATTAGAATTGGATTTGTTCCTCTGTGTCTTTATTTTGGGAAACCTTACCTGGTCCCTGTGGGGGGGAAGGGAGATGGATGTGAGAAGCTGAAATTGACCCAGAAAAGGACGACTGAAGTTAGATGTCTTAAAGTAGTGGCGCAGAAATGATCCCATCCGGAGCACTCCTAGGATGTTTAGTGATTAGCAACAGATGTTTTTGACTTTCTTAAAAAAAAAAAAAAAAAAACCTTTGATAGATTTTGTATCTTGTCACAAAGAAGAGGGGAAACCTGCACTTGGGAGCCCACTTTTTGCTTTTAAAAAAAGCAAGATAAAGTCAGTACCTTAAGGTTTCCATTATATACTTAAACTGTTGGGCCACTTGTTCTTACTCCCTACTCGTGACCCCACTCTCCAGAAGTTCACTGAGCCCCCTTTGAGGATGAGACCACCCTTTTCCAAGGGCCCACCTGAGCCTTAAGATGGGATGAATGTTGTATGGGGAAGTTCATAAACCTAGAGAAACTCTTCATAAGGAAGTGAGATGAAGGATGAATAGGTAGTATAGATGTTTATAATTGCTTTGCCCAAAAAGAAAACTCAGAAGATAGGGATGAATTTTCAAATGAATTCCAGGTCCTATTGAGTAAATAATGTCACATTGTATTTCATTAAAATAGAACCACATTTCCCTTTTTTTAAATAAGACATACAAACAATGAGACTGTGATAAAAGAAAGTAACTTTGCAATTCTCAAATATAGAACAGCTTGAATAACGCATGGGTTTCAAAATGGGTCATCTTTTTTAAATGGGTCACTTTGGCCAGAATCATTGCACTTGGTGACTTTCAAATTTTAAAGGATTGAGTTCTTTTTGAGGCCTAATTGCATTAGAATTTGCATTTCATAACAGATTGCTGGATAAATTCAGAAGTAACAAAATGTACCCTTTTTTGGGGGAGTTTTACGTATGCTCAATGGAACAGATTTAAGCAAATTATTAAAAGAGCTTTGCCTTTTGACATCAAATTTCTGCCAGCACAGATGTAGCCAGAACAGTGTGAATCTAGAATTACTTTCCTTACAGTATGCAGTATCTATTATGTATTAATTTATAGTGAGAGAGGATATAAGAATTTTCATATATAAAGATAAAAAACTTGATCAGGTGAGATGTGAACTTCAAATAAATAAAAGTGATTGTTTTACATTTTGATGCCATGAATTCAGAGACTGGCTTTAATCTGTAACTTAATAAGATTTATCTTTTATAATGAAGGCTTTAATACTACAATCCAGTTTATAGAAGAGAATGTTCTACCAAGTCTGCAGGCAAGAAAACCCCCAAGAGCCAGGTGCAAAATTTTTGTAAAACAACCTAAGGTCCACTTATGATTTCATATTTTATCTCTTTTCTTCTTGTTCCACAACTTTTTCTGTAACTTTCTGAGAATGGCCTAAGCGAAATAAGCTAAAAGGTTGACTCAAGTCAGATTTCTTTCTCCATAATTTACAGGGTCTTATAGTCTTATTATCTGTCATCTTCATTGATATGTCTTTACAGTGCTTGTGGGAACCACAGTGTTCTTTCCTGTCAAGGATAATGAAAGAACGTGTTTAGTCAGTTAGGATTGGTATTTCTGGTCTCATGGTAACAGTAGTCATGTGTTAAGTGGCTCTTAGCAATCAAATTATTTTATTTAAAACTCCTATCTAATTAATATCTTTATAAGAAGCATATTAATAGTATATCTCAGATTTTTGAAAGATAAGTAACCCCTAAAAAATGTCAGCTATCTACCAGTTAACCAACTGTGGTAGATACCTGGATAGTAATGGAATATCTGATGTGGACCATACTTTGTCAATAGGTTATCTCAAAAATAATCCTCAGAAAGCAGTGCTACATGGTTTACAGTGAAGTCAAGTGCATGTGGATAGTAAATAGAAGAGGCAGAACATAAATCTACAGTTTTTTTTTCTCATTCTAAAACTCTTGGCTCTTCTCTATCTCACCTCCAACAGGTCCAGATTCCAGTTTGCAGTGGAACATTTATTGATTTTTGGTTGAGGATCTACACCTGTAACATCTCTGAAGTCTTCCCAGCATCCTTCCCCTGGCCTCCTACACAGTATGTGATAAGTTAATCTTTGTTGACTTAATTAACTGTAGCTTTTACTCTCATTTAGGGCTATCCAGTGCAAGGCCTGGAACCAGGCTGGTGCTTAATACATGGTAGCTAACTTATTATAATCATTGTCCATCAGCTAAGATAGGAAAACTTATATACCTGCTATATCCCAGGTCACACCATCTTCTGCTTCTTGTCCTCTGTGTGTTAAATCCTTAATCCAAAGCTGTTTCTAGCTACAATGCCCAAATGAGACAAATGAACTGCCACTGAATAACAGGCATAAATAGTTACTGTCACCCTGTTTCTGATCACTATTTTACCTACTAGTTTGACCTCAGCTCTTCTTTTTTTTCCCCCCACCTTTTCCCTTCACCCTAGCTTCTGACCAAGCCAAGTTATTTGACATTTCCCACTGTAGCCACAACTTTTTCTCTGGTGTGCTTTCAAAAATGCCTACATTAGTTTCTCTTGGGATGTCTACTCCTGCTCCCTCCCCTACCATTAACTTCTGTCTGTTATTCCCTTTCCTTCTGAACTGTCACTTCTCCTCCTTTCCTCCCTGAACCCATGCTTGAATTGCAGCCATTATTATAGGTCCTGCTTATTTGCCATCTCTCCCATACAGGGGTTCCCCATTTCCATCCTCTTCCCCTACTCATCTCAGCATTCTTTGTATAGTAACTGGGTTTCCAATATCAGATTCCTGGATGAATTTTCCAGAGCCTCACCTCCTCCTGACTTAATGTAGCATTTCAAATTTACCTTGGTAATTTTTCTGGGGCAAAGCCATCCTAAAACAATCTCAACAATCACTGCTGGAGTGACTGCTGATCTTTGTGTGTGAAGAGTCCTAGAGGGGTGGCACAGGTAGGATTTGGAGTGGTGGCAATTTTTGGCATATTTTATATCACCTCAAAGGGGATAGGCAGTCACTTGTTCTTATTGATAGGTGAACACACACACACACACACACACACACACACACTTATATGTTGTTGTTTCACTTTATTTTGTTTGGTACTGGGGATCAAACCCAGGGGGGCTTAACCACTAAGCAACATCCACAGCCCTTTTTAAATTTTTTTTGGGCTGGGATTGTGGCTCAGTGGTAGAGTATTTGCCTGGCATGTGTGAGGCACTGGGTTCGATTCTCAGCATCACATAAATAAATAAATAAAATAAAGCTATTGTGTCCATTTATAACTAAAATAAATAAATACATAGATAGATAGAATTTATCTAGAGACAGGGTCTTGCTGAGTTGCTCATGGCCTTGCTTAGTTGCTATGGCTGGCTTTGAACTTTTGATCCTTCTGCCTCAGCCTCCTGAGCTGCTAGGATTATAGGCAAGTGCTACCGTGCCCAGCGATATTTATTTTTGATTCATGCACTGGCTATAAACCTTAAGCCCTATGCCTGGTTTACATCTATTATGTCATGTTCACTTTTTGCCTGTCATTTTATAAGCCAACTTTGAGTACATCTTCAAGTTTTTTCTGTTATTCATGAAAAAATTTTGATACAGCTTTTTAATAAAAGAATGATAGCTTTTCCAGGGCTAGTATATGATTCCCTGTGTGTATGACTCCTCAGTTTACCCAGTACTGTTAATCAAATACTCGCATCAAACATTCTGAATTTTTTCTCCTTTATTTTTTTCTCTCCTCTCCTTTTGTCCTCCCCACCTCTCTTCCCTACTTCTGCCACTTTGGATCCTTCTCCTTAGATCCCTAGTTATCTTTAGAAAAAAGATTTTATGTACCCAGAGTACACAGACAGATGGGGTCATTTTTACTTATTATCTAGTGCAATTGGGACAAAGGAAAAGAAAAAGGAAGAAGGGAAAATTGAAAATTGAGCCCAAGGAAGGTGAGGAGAAGGTTATGTTCAAAAAGAAAATGAATACAAGGGTTGGTGAAATGCAGGTGGGATCAAAACATAAATGACTCCAAGCTTAAGACAGAGAGGGAAATTCTTTGGCTTGGTGGATCATGGCTCTAGTTCCTGCTCCACTCACTTCCTTGCCCTCCCATCCTAATGGGAACTTCAGGAAGAGCTGTGCCGGGAAAGGCGTGAGCAGCTCAGGGACTGAACAGAACAATTCATCTGCCCTGAGTTGCCACAGCATCTGGAATTGATGGAGGTGAGATAGTTAACCCCAAATCTCAGAGCCTCACTTTCTTCTGCAAAATGGGGGAGATCATTTCTCCCTTATGGTTTGTTGTGAGGCTTATAGAGTAACAAAGGATGTGAAACAATCAGAACAGTGCCTGGTATGCAGTAAACATGCCCATGTTAGAAACTGTTGCTATAGTGGGTAAAGAAGTTTGTTTCTTAAGTAGGAAAGAAAAAAAACAAACAAACAAACAGAAAAATGAAAGAATTGTATTTAAAAGAGCAAGCATTCTTGTCAACGCAAACAACCATGTTGCAAGAATGAGTTCGGGGGCAGGCTTACTAAAGCAAATGTTTGACCTCCTTTGTATTTTTATCTTTTGTCTTTTAAATTTCACATAATCAAACGGTCTACTGGGAGATTTTAGTGACTTAATAGAACTGCATTAAAATGTAATACTACTCTAAAATCCCATGCCACCAGTTGCCAGAGTAAAGACTTAGGGCTTGATTTGCTTATTCTTTTGATATTTCTCTGTCATTATTTTCCCTATAACCAGGAAACAAATCTGTACCCATATTTAACTTATAAAGGAACACAGAACTTAGTTTATGTAGGTGAGAATCTTGTAATTGGATTCACATGGTAGTTTATAACCCACCTTCCCCTCTGTCCTTCTCTCCATGCTTGCTGAATTGGAACTTAAAGTTTTTGGACTAACACTGAATCAAGAACTAACTCTGTAAATATATTCTTAGTGGAAGGATAATAGCTCCAAATGGCTTCTACATTTTGCCTGTGGCTTGAAATAGTTTTAAGGTTAAAGTCACAGCCATAAAAATACCTGAAGACACTAGCTATGGGGTAAAGTTTTTCCTTTTTTATAGGACTTATGTTGGAAACAAACTTCGCTTGAATTAAAGAATAATATAACTTTTTGAAAGAATGTCTAATTTTTCACTCAGAATAGGAATTGTAAATTCAAATTTCATGTTGTTTCCTTTCTTCTTGAGCAAACAGAACAGGCAGTTACCACTGACTGGTAACTGGTTGTGCAGTCACAGAAAATTTTATTTTTCTTTTCTTTGAATTAGGCCTGAGCAGGAACCCAAAATTGTCTCTTAGTTGGGACTTTAAGTCTTTGAAACTTAAATGATGGTATAAAGTATTAAGACTTGAAAGAACAAAAACCTTTGACTTACTGAAGGAGGCTTATTAGTGTATAGTTTATGAGTGTCACTTTTAAAAGCATCATTAATATTTGAATGGCTCATGGGGATAGTCTGAATACTAAGTTGATTTTTAAAATGAAGGCAATCATTAATTTGGTCCTACTTTCTATGAGACCATTCAGGGACAGGTTTTTACTATGATATTTTATTTCTCTAACAAAGAAAAAACTAGAGCTAGGAGACAATGATTAAATTACTTTTCTTCTTTTATCCTAGTAGCTTTTCCTTCAAATAATATTGTCTGCTTAAATAGAATTTCAGGGTTTATTTTTTGTTTGGGGGAATATTTTAACTAAGAGAAGGCAATTTTATAGTGCGGCTTTGATTCCATCTTGATTGGTGTTTTCAAAACTTGCAGGTCACAGTCTATGAATGGTTCATGTAGCTACTTTAGGAAGCATAAGTGTAGCATTAAAAATAAAAGAAAAATGAATAGAAGTGTGCATTGCATATAATAAGCATTAGTACCATATATAATAAGCATTAGTACCATTTTATGATATAAATATCAGAAATATATTCTGACACACACACATCCATACACATGAATGAAAACATGTCCATGGAAGTCAGCCACACTTAGTACCCAGGGAGTTTCAGTGAGTAGGACAAGGATTAGGGTATCTTGTGAGATAGGGATATTTAAGCACAGAAAGGGATCCTGTCTCTGTTTATAATTTTGATATTTTGTTCATCATGAATTTTTTTCATTAATTTCATCTTTTAAAAAATATTTAAAATATTACGTTGACTACCTTATTTTTAGTGCTCCCTTAAGTTTTACATCCCAAGTGTCTGCCCTGCCTCCCTGCAGTTCATGTTCTGATCAGTATGTTTCATTGAGGGCATGGAGACTGTGGGCGAACCTGAGCAACTTGTGACATGGTGGCATATGGGGAGGAGGAGGTGATGATTGGTGTCTTCTCCCTTCTCTAGGAAGCAAACGGTGCAATAGTCAGAGTGAGGGGCCAGGCCTGGGTTGGTGAAGGGGCTGGGAGAGGAACAAGGTAAGAGGGTGGTGACATAGCAGTGAAGGCTACCCACAGGCAGAGAGTGCCATTTGTGTGACCCTGTCTGCTGGCATTAGGTTTCTCCAGCAGCCTGTAGGTGTTGTGGGAGTAGAGATGGGAGCGATGGCTACTGAGACAGGCAGAAGGACAGGAACCAGGAACTGAGGGCAAACGTATCTTAGGATTCTGCATTTGAGGCAGGGGGTAGGGTGAGGAAGGAAGGTTAGGAGGTTGCGGAGGGCAGAGGAGTCCCACTGCATGTTAAGAGGTGATGGATAGGAACTGAATGTCCTTGAGAGTAAATTTCCTGGGATGTAAGAGCTCTGAGGAAATGCAGTTCTAAGTGAAGCCATGTAAATGACTTTCTTGCCAAGGAGTTTTCTTGGGTATGTGGGAGGTTAATGTGACCAAATGATACCCATATCATAAATAAGGTTTCCACAGACTTGGGAGTATTATATGTCCATGAAATAAAATGAAAACAAGAGCTTCCCTAAAGGTTAGATGTTGTTACTGTGTTCATAACAATGGCCAGAAATGCTCAAGAAGCACCATTGTTTCTAGTTAGCATCACTCAGCCCTCAGGTCTGAGATTCAGGATGGCTTCTCTTTATGGAAGGTGTCTTTCTTGACCTTAAC